ACTGTAAGCTAAAATCTTAATACCATAATTTAATACTTTTTATTTCTATTTTTGTTAATTGGCTACTACAGTGAATGCTACCTATATTAAGTTTTCTAGTTGGGGGAAAGAAGAATTTAGAAACTTTAATCCTAAAATTATAAAACAATTCAAGTGTGCTTGTGGCATTTTATGAGTGTAAAAAATATATTTAAAAACGAAATGACCAGGGGAAAATTGTTATTAAAGACAAGATTGTTGTGCTAACCAGTTAGCACTACCCAAAGTTAATGCAAAACTGTTGAAATATAGTCATTTCGGAGCCTATGCGCCAGCGCCACGGAGCCGTGAGAGAGCGATGGAACCATGGATCTATTCGAATGGAATCTGTACAAACTCTGGAACTGAGGAGTCCAACTCAGGATAATAGTTCCGGTTAGCCAAAACATCGATGTTTTTTGTCTTTTCAACAGCATATAGAAAACCACATTAGCCGACCAAAAACCGGCTGATTATCCTGAAACTTTTAAACTTGCTATGTAAATGGTCAGATCTCTTTGTAACAAGTCTTTTTTTAATCAATAATTTTATTGGTCTCGTTATAATCTAGATCTTATGGTTCATGGGCTGAAACATGGCTTGACCATAATACAGGAAGGATGCAGTTTTTAATAAACATCACCACCAAATTTCAATTTGAATCTGATTTACGGGAAAACAAAAAAGGATGAGCTTAGCTGCCATTTCAGAGTCCACTTGTCTCCCATAGAAGTCTCTGGGAAATTTCCGTTCTTTGAATATGTGTCATTTTTAAAAATACAACAAATCATATCTCCGCCAATACTTGTCGTGTCCTATACAAGCCACCGCAGTCAATGTCTCAGTTTATTGATAATTTTACAGAGTTGCTTTTCAGTTTGCCCCCTGCAGTGAGGAGGACGTTGAGAGACGGCCTGTCCTCAGAGGAGGCCAACTGTTCTGGGCTTGTCGAGCTCGGAGCTGCAGGTGTGAGCTGGACCTCGCATTGCCCCAGACGGACCCATGTTTACCCCCCCCCCGGCCCTCTACGTCCCGGGACACAGCGCGGATGTATAAAGACTTTGATCTGATGGCCGTCGAAATCAAAGCTGCCTTCAAACGCACTAAGCTGAAGAAAACCCAATGTCACAATCATTTGGAAAGAAAGAGTGGGAAGAGAGAGATGCATAAAGCAATAGAGAAGCTGGAGACAGAATGGACTGTTGTAGGTTTTGTTGGTTTTGTCTGTTATCGACGCATTCTGAACTTTCTGTTTTTCTTTATTTTTTTTACTACTGTAGGAGTTTTGTTGCTGGAAAAAAAATGTGCTCGGAAAGTAAACGTGCACTGGATTTAACAGTGGGGGATTGTGGAAGGCTCAATCAATGATTCATTCACATAAACGACAACTCGAGCAAGCTGTTGGGACTGTGTCGATAAAGTTACAGATTGTCAAAGCAAAAAGTATAAATAAAACAAAGCAAAGGAAGGTTTCTCACCCATCATCTGTACTTCTTAGCAAGTTTTCCCGACGTTTCGTCCTCAACCTGGGGACTTCTTCAGGGAATGAATTCTCGGACCGCGCGTTGGAGATTTATAACCTATGGGTGTGGTAAGCCACACCCTAATCCTGATACTAACTCATAAACAATCTCAGGTCTGCTTGATGTAGAAGGGGAGCAGGTCTAACGACCCTGCTGAGGCTAACGACCCTAACTCCTTAGCATGTCACAGACCTATTGTCTGCTGCGATGCTCAAGTGGAGTGCAGGTCTCACCCCTCCTAACTCATTAGCATGTCACTGACCTTGTCCCAAGTTAGGGCGTTGTTTTTAGGATGTCGTCATAGATGCGAGGCAAAACAAATCTTAACCCTCCTCCTCTGTTAAGAGAAGGTTTCTGTTTCCTCACAAAAATGGCTTCTTTCACCCCTCTCTCAAACCAATTCTTCTCCCGAGCCAGAATTTTAACCTCTGTGTCATCCACCGTGTGGTTGGAGGCCTTGAGGTGGAGATGAACAGCCGACTGTGGCCCACTAGAGTTTACTCTACGATGTTGGTAAAGTCGTTTCTGTAGAGTCTGTTTAGTTTCTCCAATATAGTGGTCAGTGCACTCCTCTTCACTACATTTAATTGAATACACCACATTGCTCTGTTTGTGTCTGGGTGTTTTGTCTTTGGGATGCACTAATTTCTGTCTTAACGTGTTGAAAGGTTTGAAATACCCAGGGATTTTGTGTTGCCTAAAGATTCTTTGTAGTTTCTCTGAAACTCCCGCCACATACGGTAAGGACACCCCTCTCCTCCTACTTTCTTCTGTCTGTTGGACTGTGTCTCTGGCCTTTCTCGTCCACATGATGTACATCAGTACAGATGATGGGTGAGAAACCTTCCTTGGCTTTGACTAATCCCTGTACGACTGAGGGCTTACACAAACTTATAAATAAAGTTCAGAAAGAGACTTTAATTTATTTTGAGAGAATGTGTCTAAAGCATCTGTCTCTGTAATGCAGGGGTGTCCAAACTTATCCTGATTTTCTAATCTCCTACTGTCACAGGGGAAACTCATTTATTTCTGTAATTCAACTGTGAGACAAAAAACAGTAACCCAGTCTATGAAAAATAACATGAAAATGTTTGTATTAACCACATTTTTTTGTACCTATGGTAGGTTTTTTTAATATTATTTATGGGTGAAAATGTGTTTCTCTCACATTTTTACCCATAATGCATAGGTGCTTATAAACATTATGAACACACAAAATGAAAAGAAAATGTATAACGTTTATAAAATCAAAACAAAAACTAAATATTCACTGAGAGAATATGTTAAAAAAGTACAAACAAAATCTAAAACGTGTACTTTACATGTTATTTTTGGAGACTGGCCCTCATAACTGTCTTATCAAATATATTGTTTGATACATTGAACATAAATCAGGTATGGCTCCTTTAAAGCTGGGGTACCTAAATTTCAAACCACAAAATAACGTAATTGTATGTAACCAAATCCATGTAACTCGCTCCTCCCTCTGAAAACAGTTTTCTTCTATCACTAGTTTTCACATGCATGTATTAATAGCCTCTGGCACATCTTTAGATCAGCAATTTCAGACTGAAAAGTGAAAAAGAGAGGAGCAGCCTCACTCAGCCAATCAGCTCTCGGTTCTAATAGTGACTCATGGGTCTCATTCTTACAACTGAGAAAGATCAGGATGGGGTTTTTTCAGATGAAAACAACATGTGTACTGATTCATTCATAACATTATACTTTTACTCCTTCTGTTGCTTTCTGTTGCCTGAGTCCCTCCTCTGATGTGTATCTCTCATAGAAGGAAAGTTTAGACACCCCTGCTGCCATGCTTTATAACCAAGTCGTCCTATTGTTATAGTTGAATTTAAATCTCAAGCTTTTGCCTTACTGTAACAACACTGGAACTCCCAGAGCAGTCAGTTTGTTTTGGAAGCGTAATTAGCATTAGCACCTTTTTGGTGTTTTTTCTTTTTCTATACATAGTTTATTTCAATGCCATTATTTTTTATGACATGATATTTTTAATTTATAAAACATGAGTAGTTCTATCTTTGACTCTATTAATTTGAATGTGACATTCAAATTTAGCCATTTTCACTTTCTTTATTTCTACGGCAGTTAAAGCCCCTTTTTTAAAGGCGCTGGTCCTGGACTGGTCCTGGTCTGGTGCTGGTTCAGCTTGGCTTCCATAAGAGTAAAGCAAGAACTAGTTACTATAGCAACACATTATTAACTTGTAGCAATTACATTTAACCTTTCATAAAAAAAATAAGTACTGTATTTTAAGTATATTTATAGTTTTAGCACTTAGTATAGTGAGTAAAGGTAAATATCTAAGTAATTACTCACTTTTAATAAATCTTTTCTCAGAATCCATTGGTTTGATTGACAGCTCTGGGAGTTCTCGTAGTTTCATATATGTGGTCCTCGAGTCGACCTCCAGACAAACCCTTCACAGAAACTAAAGAAAGTGCTGTTTTAAATGTTGTAAATACATCACTGCAACCGGAGCTGCGAGCCTCAAGCTCTGTTTGATATCTTCCTTTTTTATTTTGCTTCAGAGTCCGAACAAAAACAAAACGCAACCGGCATATTTCAAGCCACACGAACAGTACGATTCAGCACCTTAGAGTTTATGTGTAGCATGTCACAAATGAAGAGGACTGGGCTTTTTCTGATGTGAAAGACTGTGTACATGATGCTCACTCCAATGTTTTGTAATTTTCCTTTTCGGTCTGACATGTAGTATAGTGTATAAAACTCAAAGCAGTATTATTTTAAAGCTAATTTATGCAAACCAAGCCATGCACGGTTTCAAATGTGTTAATAAAAAGGAACGCCACTTTGACTTTGACTTGTGCAATTCTTCTAACGCTGGTTACTGTAAATGCTGGTCTAAACAATCAACTATGTTACTGTATACATGTTACACTGCAAAAAGTGACACAAAACAAGTCAAAGCAGGGCAGCAAGGCGCAGTGGTTAGCGCTTGTACCTCACAGCAACAAGGTTCTAGGTTCAATTCCACTTCCTCTGTGTGGTAAGTTTCCCCCAACTCTAAAAACATGTACAATCAATCTGGCGTGTGCCTCCTGTACTGGCGACCTCGCTCTCGTCTCTGTGTGGAGTGAGAGACAAATGCCCACAATAATTGTAAAGTGCTTTGTGACTCTAGTCTGTGAAAGGCGCTATAAAAATAAAAACTTGACTCAAATTTAGAAAAATGTATCTTAATTTTGGACATTTTGACTGCCAAGAACAAGATATGCCAATAGGACAAGCAAAATTAACTCTCCTTTGGAATAAGAAAATAAACAACAGTTTCTGAAATACGACTAAATGGCTTTGTCCCATTGGCAAATATTGTTTATAGATTAGCTCAAACCAATTCTCAAAAGGAAGCGATCTTGGTGTCTTCTGTTCAAACGAGAAGATGTTCTCTCCCAACAAGAAGACGCCAAGAACGCAGAAATGCATAAGAACCCCAAGAAGCCTTGTTCTAAAGTTGAAGAGAAGCAGGACGTTCTGCAGAAACTGGAGAGTCTGAAGCCTCACAGTGACGAAGAGGAGAAGAAGTCTGACGTGAGTGAGTGTAGCTGCAGGATTTCATTTAAACCAAATAGTAATAATAATATATCAAATTTACATAGTGCTTCTTTGAACACCCAAAGACGCTTTATTAAACACATAAAAATATACCTTGAAGAAAAAAATTGAGGAAAGGCAAGGTGGAACAGGCGGGTTTTGAGAAGTGCTTTAAAGTTCTGTAGTGAGTGGGAGTTTATGATGGTGGTAGGAGTGAGTTCCAGAAAGTGGGGACAGCTTCCGGAAGTCTTTGCATGTAAACTCACCGCAACGCATGGTCCGGCGGGAACCTCGAAAACGCAACTTAAAGGAGCAACATGTAATTAAAGCCGCAAGCGGCGTCAAACGGCCCTCGTTGCACCGCGCGCACCACCCAGCACCAAGCCGCCATGCATCAAGCCGCCCCGCACCACGCGCCCCGCACCACGCCGCCCCGCACCAAGCGGATCTGCACCACGCCGCACCGCACTACGCCGCACCACACCGTACCACGCAGCACCGTGCAAAGGAGCTGGGGCCGCCGTGTGATGATTTGTTGCTGTTGCCATAGAAGAACGTTAGTCAAATTGTAATGAATATGATGATTAGAGCTGTTTGGCACCCCATGTAAAACTTTGCCTCAATCTGTAGGGGGCGCTAATGGGCCAATTTCAAACATTTCACTTTCACCTGACCTAAACCCTGGAGTTGAACATTGGATTCAAGTTTTGTGCAAATCAGACTTTGTTTGTGCAAACGGGAGCAAAATTAATGTTGTGAAAAAACGGTCAAAAAACACTCACATTTTGCCGCTCCGCTGCTCATACAACGTTTCATTGATCAAAAATCCCTTTGGTCATTTTGAAGGTACATGTGTTGAGATGATCTGGAGCAATTTTGAGGCCAATCGGTGAAACGGCCGAGGAGGAGTCGCTTTCCAACCGACATGTATGAAAATGATTGCGGATCATTTTTCCATTTTGCAGTGAAATTTATGGGCTTCCTGTTTGTCAGAGGGCGGAGCCATGATAACATTTTGATCGTATCTTGACTTGAGGAACATGTGTACCGAATTTCATGGCTCTACGACAAACTTGACGTCTGAAACTCCCATTGGCTGTTGTAGGTGGCGCTGTTCTGGCATTTTTTGAGTCCCATAAAAATAAACACCAAAATATCAAATTTTTCACCAGGTCTGATGTTTGGGCAAAATTTTACAACTTTTCACGCATGTTCAGGGGGTGAAATTAAGGCTCAAAGTGCAGAATTTGACATCTATCGAGCAAAAACAATAGGCCCTTTCCCCGTTCGGGGCTCGGGTCTAAAAATCTTGCCAAAAGTGGTACTGCAATCACAGTCAACATTCTGTAGTCCTCTCCTATGCTACCTGACTCAGGTTGCCAGATATGTAGACAAATCCAGCTGGGACCATAATAGCTGAATACACAAGAGTTTTGTCAACAACAAATCTATAACCTTTTTCACAAAGCCATCCCTGAACTTTTGACATATTATGGCCATTTAACGTAGTATATAAGTATACTTTTGTACTTTAACAAATGTATACTGTGATTCTACAGGTAAAACTCCATGAGATATTTCAAAAAGAAAAAGGTTATATTTGTATCCAAAAATATCAGACCGGACCTGTATAAAAAATACAATGCATTTCCAATGCTAAATGGAATTGGAAATATACAGTGGGGCAAAAAAGTATTTAGTCAGTCACCGATTGTGCAAGTTCTCCCACTTAAAATAATGACTGAGGTCTGTAATTTTCATCATAGGTACACTTCAACTGTGAGAGACAGAATGTGAAAAAAAAAAATCCAGGAATTCACATTGTAGGATTTTTAAAGTATTTATTTGTAAATTATGGTGGAAAATAAGTATTTGATCACTTCAAACAAGGAAGATCTCTGGCTCTCACAGACCTATAACTTCTTCTTTAAGAAGCTCTTCTGTCCTCCACTCGTTACCTGTATTAATGGCACCTGTTTGAACTCGTTATCTGTATAAAAGACACCTGTCCACAGCCTCAAACAGTCAGACTCCAAACTCCACTATGGCCAAGACCAAAGAGCTGTCGAAGGACACCAGGAAAAGAATTGTAGACCTGCACCAGACTGGGAAGAGTGAATCTACAATAGGCAAGCAGCTTGGTGTGAATAAATCAACTGTGGGAGCAATTTTCAGAAAATGGAAGAAGTACAAGACCACTGATAATCTCCCTCGATCTGGGGCTCCACGCAAGATCTCATCCCGTGGGGTCAAAATGATCAAAAATCCCAGAACCACACGGGGGACCTGGTGAATGACCTGCAGAGAGCTGGGACCAAAGTAACAAAGGTAATCATCAGTAACACACTACGATGACAGGGAATCAAATCCTGCAGTGCCAGACGTGTCCCCCTGCTGAAGCCAGTGCATGTCCAGGCCCGTCTGAAGTTTGCCAGAGAGCACATGGATGATACAGCATAGGATTGGGAGAATGTCATGTGGTCAGATGAAACCAAAGTAGAACTGTTTGGTATAAACTCAACTGGTCGTGTTTGGAGGAAGAAGAATACTGAGTTGCATCCCAAGAACACCATACCTACTGTGAAGCATGGGGGTGGAAACGTCATGCTTTGGGGCTGTTTTTTCTGCTAAGGGAACAGGACGACTGATCCGTGTTAAGGAAAGAATGAATGGGGCCATGTATCGTGAGATTTTGAGCCAAACCTCCTTCCATCAGTGAGAGCTTTAAAGATGAAACGTGGCTGGGTCCAAACACACCGCCCGGGCAACGAAGGAGTGGCTCCGTAAGAAGCATTTGAAAGTCCTGGAGTGGCCTAGCCAGTCTCCAGACCTCAACCCCATTGAAAATATGTGGAGGGAGTTGAAAGTCCGTGTTGCCCCAAAACATCACTGCTCTCGAGAAGATCTGCATGGAGGAATGGGCCAAAATGTTTGCATCTGTGTTTGCAAACCTGGTAAAGACCTATAGTCTTCTTTTGACCTCAGTTATGGCCAACAAAGGTTATATTACAAAGTATGGAGTTGAATTTGTGTTATTGACCAAATACTTATTTTCCAACATAATTTACAAATAAATTCTTTAAAAAACCTACAATGTGAATTCCAGGATTTTTTTTTTCACATTCTGTCTCTCACAGTTGAAGTGTACCTATGATGAAAATTACAGACCTCTGTCATTATTTTAGGTGGGAGAACTTGCACAATCTGTGGCTGACTAAATACTTTTTTGCCTCACTGTAGATGTAAGAAATCAACAGATCTCTGTCCTTCAGACATGAAAACATCCATAGTACAGCAGCAGTTCCCTGATCATTGGGCCACTTGCTCACTCAATCATAAAACACATTCATATCACGAGAATGGGACTTTTACAACATGTATTTTCTTTGTGCTTGTTGTTTTGTAGGCATCTTTGGGAATACCTCCTGAGTGTTACTGAGGCCCTGGACCTTATTTTGGGAACCACTGCAGTAGTAATTTCATCAGTGATCACGCTTCAGTCAGAGCAGCAGCAATACATTGCCCCTTGTTTGTGTTACTTAAAAAAAACACTTCAACCTTCAACTCTACATCTGTATTTGCAGAAATGTCTAAGTAAGTTACTATTCTATTTGATGTAAAGTATAGTTTAACTCAAAGGCTGACAAGATATCAAACAAGACAACTGGATTGAATGTAACATTTTGCTGAAATAAGATTTGGTCTGTTACTGTGACTGTGATTACTGCTACAGGCTTCAAACTCGACTGATGGTCGAATCTCGGATTCAGGAGGAGCTCGTCTCTCTTCTATCAACAGAACAGATGATAGTTCTGATCAATAATGCAATAAATAGGGCACAAATGTTAATTTTAACAACATTTGAGGCGAGAAAAATGACTATTGCCATTTTGGTGATTTGTTATGCTCCAGGGGATAGCATAACTATTGTAAAGCCCGCTTTTAGCTTTGTTACACATGTACATGTTGGTTTGAGACAACCTTTGGCTTTAAAAATGTATTTAACAGTTCTTTCTCTGTGTTCCCTCGGTTACTACAACTGTATACTAGATAAAAATACTGCATTGTATCAATGAAAGTCGGCTAAGTAAAGACTGTGGACTGTCAGCTGTGTCTGCGGCCGCAGATGCTACACAGGCGAATGCTAATGCTAACGCATTTCAACCGTTCCTTGTTAGGCATTTTCCTAAAAATCAACACCCGTTAGTGAAATAAGTTTTAGCGAAATAGAGACTCCATAAGTTCCCCACTTGATATTTGACTTGCCACAACTGTACACGCACCAGAAAAAGAGCATTTTGACTCGGAATGAGTGCATTTTAACATTGTTCTTAATGAAGAGATTCACTTCGTGTCCCTCGGAGGACTGTCGCGCTGCTGCGTGATGTCAGCTGCAACCCAGCAATATACTGTCCTATTAAAGTGGCAGAGATAAAAAAGTTGGATGGAAACAAAGTCTTAAACATTGAGTGCTTGTAAGTTGAGTTTGTTCTGATCTGTGCTCTTTCAGAACGTGCCTCAGTTGGTCAGAGAGCAGGTGGGCGGCAAGGTGCTTCCGTTTGGCTCCTTTGCCATGGGCCAAAACATGAAGGACGCAGACATCGACCTGCTGTGTGTGGGACCACGCTTCATCCCACGGGAAATCTTTTTCTCCTCTTTTGTGGAGAAACTAAGGACAACAGCATGTTCAAGTCAAACATGTAAGTCAGAATATTTGATTTCACATTTTTTCTAATGAAGTGTTCACTAATAGAGTTTCTGCATTCTCAGGTTCATGAGAATGCATTTGTGCCCGTCATCAAACTGATCGTTGAGTCAGTAGAGGTAAGAAAAAGAGTCATTTAAACTGGCTCTTTTTGAGTTGCTAAAATAATAATAATGTTTTCAGTACATAAACAGCTGTGATTGTTGGTATTTGTGCCATTAGGTCGACATGGTCTACGCCAGGGGTGTCAAACTCATTTTGGTCCAGGGGCCACATACAACCTAATCTGATCTCAAGTGGGCCGGACCAGGAGATGCTCTACAAAAATATCCAAAAACGGTACAAAGTCCAACTTTTTGTGCACATAAACACATTTATTCAAAACTTCCTTTAAAACACTATCCTTTAATACTCAGTTTTCTGTTACAAACTTAAATGTAACAGTGAGTTTTCCATAGTGCAAATAATGTAATGTATTTACAATATTACATTGAAAATGGTATTTCACAATATGTATATTAATATTTGTATGTTAGCTTTGTTTTAAGGCTCATTACAGAGAAAACTTGCTCACAAAGGTAAAGTAGACAGAAAAAAGCACTTTAACACAGCACCTCAGCTTAACCATCTTCAGTGTGGTAAGGTCCATGGTTATGTTATTATCACATTAACCATCTTCAGTGTGGTCAGGTCCATGGTTATGTTATTTATCACATTAACCATCTTCAGTGTGGTAAGGTCCATGGTTATGTTATTATCACATTAACCATCTTCAGTGTGGTAAGGTCCATGGTTTTGTTATTATCACATTAACCATCTTCAGTGTGGTAAGGTCCATGGTTATGTTATTATCACATTAACCATCTTCAGTGTGGTAAGGTCCATGGTTATGTTATTATCACATTAACCATCTTCAGTGTGGTAAGGTCCATGGTTATGTTATTATCACATTAACCATCTTCAGTGTGGTAAGGTCCATGGTTATGTTATTATCACATTAACCATCTTCAGTGTGGTAGGTCCATGGTTATGTTATTATCACATTAACCATCTTCAGTGTGGTAAGGTCCATGGTTATGTTATTATCACATTAACCATCTTCAGTGTGGTAAGGTCCATGGTTATGTTATTATCACATTAACCATCTTCAGTGTGGTTAGGTCCATGGTTATGTTATTATCACATTAACCATCTTCAGTGTGGTAAGGTCCATGGTTATGTTATTATCACAGAGAAAGCATCAAACTGACCATGATTCAGTTGAAATGAATAAAACAACTTCCATAACGTGATCCATTCTTAACGACTGCAGCAGTGTCTCTGTGTAAAACACAGTCAAATGTCCAAAAATCATCACCTCCATTTGCAGCTTTGTCACTACACCTGTTTTTACCATCGGTACCAGTCCACACTGTCCAACACACCAGCAACAACAGCAGAACCAGCAGCAGCGATCAAAACTCCTCTGATAGTTTCAGTAACACCACAAATGAATATGTGACATCAGTAACATCAGTCTCTTATCGATGGCAACATGTTGGTAAAAGCGAGTGGTTTCTCAGACCATGTCTGCAGCCTGTGAGAGTTTAACAAACTCTCTCTCACTGTGCGGCTGCGATGCTAATGCTAATGTTGTTAGCACAGGTAGCTTCCCTTCACAGCAGCAGAACTAACCTCTCGCTCTGGGCACAAACAGACTGCTGTGTCTTCAGGGCCAGACAGGTTTATCTTCTGTTTTCTCAATTCTCCGCTCAAAGTGCCGTATTTTTCGCCGAGTCTTGTAGTTTAAGATGTTATTCCTCCAGCACCGCTCTGGTGGAGCCACTACAGACGCACTGGACTCACCCCTGAGCGCGGCGCTGCGGCGTCGCGGAGCCTCGCGTCGCCTCGCGTCGCGGAGCGGCTTTTTAAAATGTATTATTATTATATTTTTACATAAATGAGCCGCGGGCCGTGTCAAATCTCTTGGCGGGCCGGTTCCGGCCCGCGGGCCGTATGAATGACACCCCTGGTCTACGCAAAGATCAACGGGAGGCGAGTGTCCGACAGCCTGGACTTGATGGACAGCACTATTCTACAGGAGATGGACGTGATCTCTGTCCGCAGTCTCCAGGGTTACCGGGGCACACAGGAGATCATGAGTCTGGTGCCCAATGCCTACACTTTTAGATTGGCACTGGCTGCTATCAAGCAGTGGGCCAAAAGTATGTCACACCAAGATCCCAAAGTGTACATGTACGAGTACGTCTACAAAGAGTTACCAGGCTGCTTTATTTACTGTAGGAAGAAACATCTACTCCAACATGTTGGGCTTCTTGTGTGGAGTGTCATGTGCCATCATGCTGGCCAGGATCTGCCAGATGTGCCCGTATGCCACGGCATTCTTCAGGGTCTACTCCAACTGGTGAGTCCTCTATGGTCATAATAATCATAATAATAATAATGTGACAATATGGAACTTCAGTCAATAATTGTGATCATCAATAATAAATGTGTGTGTTCTTGTCAAACAGGAACTGGGCCTCTCCTGTCATGCAGAGAATCCCAGAGGAGCAGAACTACAACTTGCCCTCATGGAATCCATGAGTAAGTTCTAATTTCTGCTACAAGAATTTTCTGCTTTGTGGTTTGTTGAATTTAAATGTCCTAAAATAAGATATTCTGTATAATGTGTTTGCTGATATTCCCAGAGGAGTTGGCAGCAGCAGATGGTCATCATCACACCCTCATACCTGCAGCAGAACTTCGTCCTTTAATGTGTTAATGTTTCATTGCTGTTATATTAATTGTAAATAACCACAAAGTGTTTTTTAAAATGTGTTATTTCAGCTACGGTTGAAATACGGTTTTAGCTTTAGGGATTTTATTTTTGAAGGTAGTTTCCTTTTGTTGCGAGGCGCAAGCCATTGACTGCACGGTAACCAAGGCAACGGAGGCTCTCGGAAAAAAGTCCAATGGAGCGCAAAAAACATTATTATTTTTTAGCTACCCCTTTGTTGAGGAACAAGGTACGTTCATGACAAATGTATGATTGTCAAATGTACATTGCATTATTTGTTAAGTTGTAAGAGTTTGATTATAAGCTTACAATTTTCTTATTGTTGTATTGTTGCAGCTCTTACAGTGAATTTGAGGGTTTACTGCCATTAAACATAAAAAAATCATCGGTACAGTGTCTTCCTTTATGCGGGGGGTTTGCTACATTAATAGTGTTGCATTTACTTCCAGTGTACGCTGACGCTAAATCCAGCACTGAAGGAATACATAGTGATGCAAAGTTCTCCTACATAATCAGGTTAAAACATCTGATACCAGCGATGAGACACATGCAGTAAGAGCCTGCTGCAGCCGCTGTGGAGAGACCATGTGTGAACAAGCGATCGCACACTCCCGGCTCTGAACCAAAGCCAGAGGCCAAGAGAAGCACAGGTAGAACTGAGACACTATGGGCTGTGCTTTCTGCATACACATATTTACTCTATTCATCGGATGACTTAATGTCCAATTATATGTGTTGAAGACAAAATAAGGATTAAATTTTATACATTGTTTGCAGAGCTCAACTCCTCTTGGAGAAAACATTCCTTTAATCTGTAAACCGATGAAAATGAAAAGCCACCAACTTCCACAAGTAAAACTCTTTATACAGTAGCCCAGTGAAACAATATGATGAAGTTCACCCACATTTGTCTTTTTAAGTAGAAAATGGCATGAATAGAATCTACAAATGAATCCTCGGTACTGTGGTGTATTTATGTAACAAAACTCAACTTTCTTCACAAGGGAATAAAGTTTGGGAACAGTGCCTGGCCTCGTCACATTTTGTTTTAACAATTTTGCATCAATAGAGGTTTTGCAGCACGTGACCTACAGAGCACTACGCCGCCATGTTAGATGGAAGAATATGGAACCCTGCCACACACTATAGAGATTTCTTGCGTGACGTCACAAGAGCTTGAAAACGCGAGACCTCCGCGATATTGGAGGACAAGCAAACACATTGTGGTAGTGGCGTGCACCCGGCATCGCATAAACATGGTCAAATTTTGTAACTTTTTTGGCTGCAGCAATAGGGGAGGCAGGGACGATAAGTAGCTTTACTGACTGCCAGCTGTCCTTACTTCACAGGGCTCCAAAACAATAAAATATATATGCTCGGATCAAGGGCGTAGGTTTGCGTGGGGACCATGGGGACATGTCCCCACCAATATTTGGTGAGGACTAAAAAGTCCCCACCAAAATGACATGATGTCCCGTGACCCGGACGGTCCGGGACACAAGTCTTCCGTTTGTGCATACGTCGCGCCTCCTCCTCGCCTCCAGAGCAACAGCAGCAGCAGCAGCACGTGACCCGTTCCGTTCTCTGCAGTGATTGGCTGTCTTCTTCAGCGCCAAACTGAAGCACTGAGCAACTGTTTAATTTTTAAAAGTTAGCCAGCGTGAAGCAAGTGTTTTTTTTCATTCCCTGAGCGTTGTAGCACGTGAGTAATCAGAGGAAAGTACTGTAGATCTATTACCATTCAAAGTACTTACGTTATTTCTAATCTGTCAGCGCACTGTTTAATGTTCCGAGGAGCTCACACGGCATACAGAGACAGAACAGAACTGGCTCCAATAAAGAAACAGGTTGGTTGAAAGGCTGAAAAAATACTTATTGTGCTCTTACTATCCAAAATGTATAAGTGGGTGTGTTGTGTGAATCAGGATAAACTAGGGATGAAAGTATTTCACGGATCCACGATTTACAACCTTTATCTGCTGATAATGTAATTTCTGTGAAATGTGTGACAGCGGGTACTTGCTGTTATTTGCTCTAAGCACATTCAAGCGATGCACTCGAATGTGCACGTCCTGGTGCAGCTGCTGCCGCTTTGTAATGACAGCCGCGGCGCTCAGTGAAAGCACAGCTCTAACATGGTACCGAGCTCGGACCATATGCAGACAGAACCATGTTGCAAGTGCGGGTCTCCCTCGTATCTCCCCGGTTTCTCCCCTGTGTCTCTGACATGTCTCTCCCCTGACTCTTCCCAAAGCGCAACCAGCGCTCCCAAAATTAAAGCTCGGATACCTAAATTTTCCATTGCGTTAACGATGCATGCTGGTTGTGCGCAAAACACACCACAACAGGTCATTTAAGTTTTTATTTTGCATACTTGAGAGCCCTGTGAGTCATTAGTTGCCTTTTTGGGTTGAGAGTGGAAAAAAAAAAAGAAAATATAGAAAAATCCACACTGTTACTTATTGCTAAACTCTTGTTAACTCATTGTATTGAGAAATACTATGTAACTTTTGACATTGGCCAAGTTATATAAATGATTCTGCAGTTCATGTATATGAATGTCTGTTTTTGATTGTCTATACCTTCTTATATAATTTAGAAAAAATGCCACCTCCACAAAAAAAGATAAACGATATCAAGAGCTTTTTTAACAGTTGGAAAGTAAGTAAGAGAAAGCACAAGTAATAGCAAATTATGAATTGTGATGATTAATCTTCTGTTAACATACATAGGAAACTCAACCAACAAGAGAGAACAATATAGGGAATGTTGAGGTAGAAGCAACAGGCCCTTCAGTGCATCAGGTGAGGTTGGAATTTTGTAGGTATGCATGGGACTATGAATTGTTTTTAGAGATTGATCGTATATGTCAAACAATGTAGTGAGATACTCACTGTAGATTCTAATTCAATATTTTCTTCTCTGTTTTTATTTATTATAGGAAATTGAAAGATCAGAGCATGATTTATTTCAAGTATCGAGAGCAGTTCCTGAACTGTTGGAGCCTCAGGTGAGGGCTATTATGTAGATTTGGATTAGGTTTAAGTCAGTATAGAATCATACTAAAGTTAAAGAACATCATTTGGTTGGAAATTACCTATGCCAATTACAACATATTTTACTACTATAATGATGCAAAAAGTGTTGTCTGAAATCTTTTACTAAATATAGGACACTCTTAGAGATATAATGGAAATTCAAGAAGGAGATAAAGACAAGGACAAGACAGGACTCCAGGTGAGGTTAGGATTAAGCAGTTAAAATCTTAGACCCATCAACCAATTCTAGTTTCATGAGATATTTAGCGACTGGTGTACCATGCCTAGGTTTCATTTTATTCAATGTAGAATGTGTGTTTTTATTAATACCATTGAGGAAAGTCAGACAAACAGGGAATGTGCAGTACTGGTAGAGGATGAGGAAGTGGCTGGACCTTCAGGGCTTCAGGTGAGGTTGAAAGTGTTTATTTGGTTTTGTTGGTGGTAGAAGGCAACACACTATTGCAAATATAGTGTGTGATTACACAACAAATTCTGGGGGAGAAACTCTGGACCCCGTGTCAATGGGTGTAGACTCAGGTCGTAGTGAATGTCCCCACCAAGATTGGAACCAAACCTACACCATTGGCTCGGATCATTTCATTTCTGCTAAGTAAAATTTATTTGGTAGCGGATTTAATGTTATTCAGAAATAATCAGAACTTTAAAGGAGCTATACTGTTTCTGCAAGGTTTGAATGTTTAGCACCGGCCCTAAACTCTCTCATTTCCTCTACGCTCCCATTCCATGGAGCCATCTAGTTTTATTTCCGATCTATATGCTAACATTAGCATGAGCGCAACTTCTTGTAAGTTGTACAATCACTGATGAAATGGTACAAAATGATGTAAAACATGCATTTGGCCAAAAACTGGCTATTTATTTTCTGATCCAGTTCTCAATATGAAAGGCCAACACCCCTCACGCTCCCCACACAATAATGAAAATGAACATTCACTAACAACAGTGGTCCCTGTGATCAAAGTGCTCCGTGCTCTCAATATTTGAAAACAAAAAAGAGTCAGTGTCAGCGGTGAAGTTATGGTTCTACTCACGGCCCCTGCGCATGCACCACGGTCCACTTTGGCCCAACCAAAACTTGTCCCGGAGCCTAGCAGCAACCACGGAGTATCAATCCGCAGTCTCGTTAAATCCACAGTGGTAATTCCAAACGAAATAACTCCAAAAGTGATTATAATCCGCAAAAAACGGGTCCTCCGGGTAAAGCTGCTCCAAGTCGGCGTCTGACGTCAGACCATGCGCGCCCCCACGCCCGTGCCCGACATTCTCAACTGGAGTCCCGCAAAACGCCATCAATAGACAATTTTATAATACTAATTGACAACAAATGTAAATGACACAGAACAGACCTGGTAAACATGATGGTTGTAAAATAAAAAAAATAAAAAATTCAATGTCTTTGAAGACATTTTATTCAGCTAGAGAAAAACACACATTTCTAGATTTTCTCAAGAATGGACTATATTTTGGAATTTACAAGTGGATTTTGTTTTTTCCATAGACATTTACCGTATGAATGAGCCATTGCAAGCACGGATTACTTCGATGATATAAAGTCCAAACTATCTTGCTAGAACCGTGTATTTCGGCTGGTATTTTGAAAAATTAGTCATCCTTTGTCTCACTCTGAGCGTTTTCACATTTAAAAAGCGCAGCAAAATGTTCCCATCACTCAGGTCTAAGTAAAGAGTGCTCTTGTATTCCTGGGTTGCACCATAGACTGTATATATTAACGGACAGAGTCACGC